GGGGGCCGAACAGGATCCTGTGGGCTGCCAGCCAGCGGGAAGCGTGGAGATGTCACTCTCTAACTGCCCAGGAGCCAAGTTGGGAAAGAGTGGGAGCAGGAGAGCTAGGGGCTGGGGCTGGAGTGGGGAGTGGCGGCGGATCAGGACCAAACTTGATCTGGTAACTCTGGGTGGGGCTGGTAATAAGCAAGCTAACAATATCTCAAACTGGGCATGAAACAAAAAAGACCTACAGATTCGTGAGTCTGCAACTGGAGCTAAACTCCGATTCGATGTCTAATTAGGTTGGGGCAAGTTACGTCTGATCTCTGCTGAACACCTATTGTGCAGTTTGGATGCCTCACCTTGAAGGGAGTTGTGATGGTCACTTGTTAATTGTTGCTGTGGAGGTGGGGTGGCAAGTTCTTCTGCAGAGCAGCACAGCAAATACATTCATTTTCTGGAGTCATTAGAACGTAAAGCTAGAGAAAAGTTTCCAGGTACTTTAGAGGAGGTGCCCTGGCAGTGAACAGGGAGGGCTTGCTTGCCCTGGTACTTTTCACAGGGCCCCAAACCACTGGGATAGCCAAGACCTGAATCTGTCTCCTAGCACTCCATTTCTTATCTTCTGACAGTGTATTTGTCAAACGTGTGTAGGCTCTGGCGGAATCCACTGGGTGGTCTTTACATTAGAAATAGAAAAACGTTGAAGAAGCACTGCTTTTCCCTCCCTTCGGTTATCAAAACTGGAAAGAGAGAGAGAGAGAGAGAGAGGACTGGCATATCTTTGGAGAGATTGAAAGAATAGCCCTAAAGGTGATTTTGAAACTAAACAGAACTTGGTAATTTGATTCCCTTAGCTAATTTGTTTTAAAAAAATCAATGGATTCCACCCCCACACTCCATGTTTACCTGGAGAAACTTCTGTAGTCTTTCTAGTATATAGTAAACAGAGTTCAGAATTGGGAATAATTATCTAATTATAATTCATTATGCAATTTGCTATTTCAGTTGAAACAAGATTTTATGAGTGTTTCATCCATTTGCTGTGTGCATTTCTTAATATATTCTTAATTACATAAAACTAGGTTGTGTTTCTCAATCTATGAAATTCTTCTTCAAGCCTCAAAAATTTCGATTTGTGAGTCTAAATGCAGAGCAAATATTTAATTCTTGCTCTAAGAGTGAGAGGTGAGTTCAGTAATAAGACTTGCTAATCCCACTTTAAAATGTCATGGCATTCACAAATTATTCCTAAATTCTTCAAAGATGGGAGCTTATAATTAGTTTAGTTATTCTATTGTGTATTTCCTGATTTCATCTATCTCTCTTCCTGTTGCATTTTCCCAAACAATCTTTTTTTTTCTTTTTCATGAGTTTTAATATTCCTCCTATTCAAGGTACTGGCTTTTTTTCTAACAGTAAATATATTTTATTTTAGATGATTTAAAAATAAGAACAGATATATTATTGGAAGGATAATTCCTTTAAGTAAGATAAGTACTTTTAGCATACTGCACATTTTTGTTAAAATCTATATACATGTACTATGCCAATGCTTATATATTTGGAACATTGCATGAGTACTCTATGCCAATAGCATTAATGTTAGCAATCCACAGGCATAGAATATTGACTCTAATAAAGGTTGTTTGGTTATTTGAAATAAAGCAGGTATGTGTATAGTAGAATTGTGACTAGTTCTTTGTCCAAATTGATCAGTTTGCATGGTTGTGTTTATTTTCTAGAAAGAAATGTTTTGGGTAAATTGTAGAAGCTTTCCTTACTGTGGTCCTGTAGGCATGTCACAGTCTTTTGGTTAGAAAGGGAAGCTGCTTTCTGCTTTACTGAGAAGAAGACAAAGAAAGATAAGGATGCTTATCTTTGAACAGAAGCACACCCCTAAATAGAGTGAAAAGTTTTAAATTTTTTTGGAAAGAAAACCTAGGTAAACAATAATAATCCAGTTAGCAAGTTCAAGCTCTCTTAGCTTCTGAGAGCCAAGAGTAATTATTCTTTGTAAAGAGTCAAGGAAAGAAGAAACCAGCCAAAAGTGTATGACCGTCATTGTGCGTAGAATAGCCTTTCAGAAACACTAGATAAACTTTGAGCTTGACGTGTTAAGGGGGGAAAAAAAGGAGGCTTCCGTTGCTGTGAAAGTATGTTTGGAGATGCTGAAGTTTATCTTACCGACAGTGATAATGGAAGACAAGTCTGGAAGTCATGATCAGTGATATGAAAGTCTATAAAGCCCACTTTATTAGTCTGTTAAGGCTGATTATTGAATTAAATGCATTGCTGTTGTCCCCTTTTCATGAAACCTTTTTCACTCTTTTAAAAATTTGATTTGGAGGGGTGGTAGAGGAGTGTCGCCCAGGTGGTATGCTTAAATGTATCAGTGTATTCGCCGCCATTAATGATGCGTCTGCCCTTGGCTGGAGGATGTGCTTCAGAGACCTATCAAAATGTTCAGCTCTAGGTTGCTTGTCGGCCTAATGTTTTATTTGCTAGTCAAATGTCCATTTTGATTTCGAGATGCACTTTCTTTGCTTTGGTTGAGAATGTGAGTAAAGAATATACTTTTCTACCAAAGTTTTACTCTGATCCACATTCCTCTGAATTTTCAGTTAAAAGTCATGGCTGATGTTTGTTCGGATTGCTTCTAGATAGAATGATACACTTGAGGGGGGAAATATAGCACATATATTCATATGAAAGAAGTCTACTGAAGGGATTGAAAAGTTTGAACAGTAAAGTTTTGAAAATTATTTCATGTGAACTAATTTTCGAGCCTGTTTAAATCTTGAGTTTCTGAGAGATCACTTGCCTTCCGAACCTTGAACATAAAATGCTTCGAAAAGACAAAAGCCAAACACAACTTCTTAGTTTCAAAACTGATTAATTGTTGTGTCTTATAAAACCTGATTTATTTCATACTTTTTTATACCAAGCATTACCATTATAAAGCTCTCCTTCTAATTGAGATTAATGTTTCTGAGCAAAGAAGCAGTTTAGAGGACTGCATTCATTTTGAGTGCTGTTGTAATCAATTTTAGATCCAGCATTCCACAATGGATCAGTTTGCCTCCAAACCTGCCTTATTATGTAGAATTAACTTGTTGGTGATTGATAGTAATACTTCTCCATCTTGAGAAGTCATTTGTTTCCAAACAAGTGTGATGGCTTGGATAGGTCAAAATACTTCTACTCATAATTAAAACATCCATTTGGGGACCTAATTTGAACTTTGTCAACGAATTATATAAAGCATGAGGAAATAACTCCTTAATACATTTCAATAACCTTTTCCTTCCCCTTCCAAATACAAGATGCCTTGAGGTGTATTTTTTTGCTCATCAAAGGATTTTATGGTCTTTCTAGTCATAAATGGTAATCGTTATCCATCTAGGCTCTTTCCTTTTTGTTTATATCAGCTTTTTAGAAGAGTTTTTTTTTTGTTTTGTTTTTTTTAGGGATTTCTTAGAATGATAGCTATCTTGTGCATGTGTTTCACAAGGTGGCAGGTATAATCCAGACAATGAAAGGTAAATGCATGGGGAGGTAATTCTTTATCCTCTTTGGAAACCTGAAAAGATGGGGAATGTTATCATCCCTACTGTGCCATTTGCCTTTGTTTCTTATTTGTATCTGGTCTGCCTTCACTGTATCAGCTTTTTATTCGCTTCTCAAAGACCACATTAAGATTGCCTTGGGCTTTGGTCCATATTGCATTGCTTACTGAGATACAAGCTTAAAGTCTCCATGAAATACAATATGAAAAGCTAAGAATGTAAGGTTGATATAATAGGGATTACAACATATCTAAAGTGTATAGTTTTTAAAGACAGTTTTAAGTTTGCCAGAGTGATGCTGTTCTTGTTTGGTT